GAGTTTACATATAAGGTAAAAAAGGATGGCATAATCTTGAGTCTGTAATGTTATAATAATTACATCTTTCACATTGACTTAATGATGCTTTGTATGACATTTGGTTCTATGCACTAGTTGTATTTTGAGGTATGGAAGTAGCATTTCATATTAATACTGATTAGGGATTGTGCATACAGACACAATAGCTCTCGTCCTCATCATGCAGATTATTGTCAAGGGATACCTTAGGAAAGACTTACTGGTGGTCCATTGTTAAATGATTAAAAACCCAGTCCTCAGGAGTAACTGCTATTGCAGTAAAATCCTAGATTCTGGGAAACGAGCCTGACCAAGAAAAATAGAATCTCTCACCGCAAATATGATATTGGTATTAGGCTCAGACTACATAGTTAAACATATACCGACTCTCTCCTTTACTGTATTCAGGTGACTTCACCTAAAAATTATTCCACTGCTTATATATCACCACAGATGTTCAGATTCTGTGTTTCTTTTGAATCAAGTCTGAATGCAACACATTTGAAAAGTAAGAGTAAAAATGGTGGATCTGAATCAGCAACATAAATGTTAGAATTTAGGACTGGGACTAAGTGGAGAGGTCAGTAAGTTTGGACTCTTTATTATTAGCTCTGTTTTTTCCTAAACACCGACATAGGCTGACACAACCGGATCCTTTAAACAACACAAGCCCTGCACTCTGCAGCTGGTCTTTGGCCTGAAACCACTTTATCACCCAATCTGCATTACTGGGTGGCCTTGCCCCTGATGACATCAGGAAGCAGGAATGGGCAGGGTATACCACCTATTATATCAAACTCCCTTTAGCTGTGCAATTAGAAGAAAGGATGGTGTCCTGAGACTGTAAAATTAGATATCAAACTGACAGAATAAAAGTGAATTTAAAGCTAAACTCCAGGTGAATAAAAAGCACAAATAGTTGATCATTAAATGTATTTTTCTAATGCAGTTACTGTAAGTGTCTACATTTGACATAGTACCAGCCTCTTGCAGTGCATTCCTTCATCTGGTCACGCATGGTTACTAAACAGCGTGGGTGAAGGAATCTCCTGCTGTGTACATTGTATTGGCTCCTTGGCTGCAAGCACCATTTGGCCGACGATTTTCCAACATGTTTCTTCCCTATCCCTTCGACTTCTGTCCAGGGGATAGTATCACCAACGGGTCAAATTTCTTCTGATTTCTGCTGAATCGGCCAAAATTTGCCCTGTGTGTATCCAGCTTTAGTTTTAACAAATTAAGTGGTGTGATCCTCCTGGTTGTAATGTGCTATTGGGCTGTGAAAATCTTCATGGAGAGAAATGTGAATAATTTGGTAAAAAAAACTCCCTTATATGTATTTATATTTATTAAAGCAGACCTTTACCCATATCTTTAAAATAACAACAAGCACACCTTTCCAAATGTTTAGTAATGACAATCTACAAACACATACTTCTAGATAATTGCAGGCTTTGTAGCCTTTTGCATACCTTATTTCTCTTTTCTTCCCAGTACTCTGACAGTGGCCATGTTTACTAAGGGAAGGTTACCAGCTCTCCTATTACTTCCTGAAAATCTGACACATGTGACTAGACATGTGACTAGAACATGTGACCATGCACATCATCTCAGGGGAGCAAAATGCCTTTCCCTAAGAATCGTGAGATTACAGATGAGATTTCCCAGCAATGCTCTGCTGATGAGAAGGCAATCCCAGTGTGAATTGCTTTGGCAAACTGTCATTTTGCACTTTCAAAGCAGGAAGTGAATGCTCTGCAAGTGAAAGTATTTCAAAATCACAACATTTTACACCTGACATGTGTCTATGTTATTAATAATCATCATACATAGAGGGATGCATTTGTACCAGGGATGCACAGATATCGTTTTTTTTTATTGAATACCAATATTTTGCTTTCTGTACTCGCTGATACCGAGTACCGATACCGGTGCTCTCTATGGAATGGAGCCGGCTTCTCTGGCAATCAGGAAGCCGGGCGGGGGATAATGACAAGCCACCCGGCTTTCTGATTGCCTGGGAAGCAGACTCCATGTTGTTTGTCTGGCTCAATTGTGATTGGCCGGGAAACCGTAATTACCTGCCTCCCAACTTCCTGATTGGCTGGGAAAGTGGCTCCATGCGTATTGGCTGGAAAGCTGGCTACCCAGCCAATCAGCAAGGAGCCAGCTTCCCAGGCAATCAGGAACCCGGGAGGCGGGTCATTACTTGCCACCCGGCTTCCTGATAGCACTGGAAGCTGCCTCTATGTTCCCCTACGGCACTTCCGGTCAGAGAAAATCTTCCTCTGACTGGAAGTTCCGGTATCCGAGAAGGTATCACAGCATTTGGGCAAGTACGAGTACTCACCCAAATACTCGGTATTGATACGACACTAGTATCGGTATCGGTGCATCCCTAATTGGTACAATTTGATTTTGGAGTGTAAAGTTCCACTTTAAGATGTTTGCCTGAAGTTCAGCTTTTAACTGTAACTACATGTTAACATTTGTTTTACTTTTTAATACTATTTGAATAATAATCACATTTAATAAGAGATTTGGAATTATAGTAAAATGAGCTATAACGTTCAACAGAAACAGACATGAACAAAATGGCTGCCTATACATTTCACTTCTAATGCCGTAATTTTTTAAATCAGGAAGCAATCTCAATTTCGTTTCCTCTTAAACTTTATTGCTGTTGACAAATGCAGCATTGCCAGTGGATGGTTTATATTTAATTTTAAAAGCATAAACACTCAGCAGCTTTTTTTTTCTGAATTCAAGAACACTTTAAAGGGGTTGATTTACTAACCTAAACACACACACACACCAGGTGTGTGTGATTTTCACACAGCAAAACGTATTTATCAACCAAAAAGTCTCTAAAAGCATATTTCCACTAATGCCATATATGGAAAAATCATGCACATGATGCATATATAATGCTGCTTCACAGTTTAGACAAAAATGGTTAGCTCATGCATTTACATTCCTGCATTCATCAACGCAAGCAACATAACATAGAGCTAATTTACACCACATTACCTTGCAATTCATTGCAGGGCTTTGAACAACACACCTGCTGGGTGTGTACACACTACAAAGGTGTTTCGATTCCTCCCATAGATCATGCTGGGAGGGAACACACTACAGAGGTGTATACACGTTCGTGGTGTGTTTAAAAGGTTAGTAAATCAACCCCTTTGTGTCATTTCCAGAAAGGCATGTTTGGCTATGTGACAAAATAGATGATGTAAAGTGAGTCACACTAATAGGTTTTATATTTCAGAAGTGTGCTAATTTGGATAGTGAGAGAATAGCCGAATGCCGCCGAGCGACATTTGGCTCGCCTGTTCTGCTCGGTCCCTCAGAGGCACCGAGCAGAACAGAAAAAGAGTGAAAAAAGTAAAAAAAAGTTAATAGAAAACGATTGTGCAGAGCTAGCAGTGACAGCTAGCTCCGCCCAATAGTTTCCTATTGTCCGGCGGCTCAATAAGGAAGCTCCAAGAGTGGTGATGATTTATGTTTATTTCTGGGAAACTATCACATTTCATTCTTTACTTTTGGAGCATTCAGAGCAAGAAAATATGGTTTCTGATTGGTTGCTTGTTGCTATGATGTTATTGTAATTATTAAAATTTTTGTTCAGTATAGACTAAAGTATACCTACTGATGGTAATATAGATTAAAAAACTATTTTTAGTGACAAGTACTCTACATACAAGTACCTACAGTTGCACGTTAGCAAAAGAGTCCTACTTGAACAGGCTAACAATCTAGAGACCTTATTCCTTTTTTAATAACCTTAAGTTTGTGTGTATTAAGACTACTAGTTATATAAATTGTACATATATGAATCATTTCATTACCTCAAAGCACGCATACTTTTTTCTCTTTTTTTTAATAAAAATGTTTTATGTAAATGTATTACCAAATAGACAACCTTTTTATTATTATTTTTGGCTTTGGTTTTATTAATTGTGTGACAGCTGTCCATATTACTGATAAATGAAAAATACTGGTTTAAAAAAAAATCTAAATCTGTATTTCCCTTTTTTTCCTGACAAAAAGATATGTATTGATTAAGGTCCTGAACTGCAGACCTTTGTTTGCATTTACCCAGCCCTTGGGGCACTATTCCTCCCAATGAAACCAGCGATGGGGCATAATTCCTTCCACTGAGACCAGAGATGGGAAACTATACTCTTACTGACACCATTCATTATTCTTCCCACTAATACCGACAATGGGTGACTATTCCTCTCACTGGTACCAATGATGGGGAATTATTCCTTCTACATACACCAACAATGGGGCAATATTTCTCTCACTGTCACCAATGACGGGATACTATTCCTCTCACTGATATCAATAATAGGGAACTCTGCCTCCCATTAATGTCAATAATAGGGCATCATTTCTTCCAGTAACACCAATGATGGGGCACTATTCCTCTCACTGTTGATGGGGCACTGTTCTTCCCACATATTCCAACAATGGGGCATAACTACTCCAACTGATACCAATGATGGCCCACTATTCCTTTTCATCTCACTGATGCCAACACTGGGACACTATTTCTTTCACTAACACCAATGATGAAGCATTATTTATCTTTTCACTAACCACAGGTGCTGTTTTTTTTTTCAATCCCAGTGCACTCCCAGTGACTCCCAATCGCAGGACATTGTCTACTCCCATTAGCCACAATCTGCCCCCTGTCCTAAAGTCCAAAGGACAGTGACCCTAACCTTTTGTTTATAAAGTTTGAGGACCACTGTATTAATTAATTTATCTTGCTTCAGAATAGACAAGTATTGGGGCTACATAGATGTTTATAGCATATATGAAATTTACTTGATTATAATATGGCAGATATTGCAGTAATGTGTTTTATTTGTTGCATTCTAATAATTAAAAACTGTTAACTCATGTTGACATCCATTATTGCAAACACACGTGACTTTGTTTTTTGAACATTTTGTCTGTTATAGGGTCTCCAGCTCTTACAGGAACTGGTACTATTACCATAAATGTAGATGATGTAAATGACAATAAACCAGCATTTGCCTTAAATCAGCATTTTATAAGTATCTCGGAAGATGCACCTACTGGAACAGATATATTACTGCTTAATTGCTCAGATCCTGATGCTGGCCTGAATGGTGTTGTTCGGTAAGCTTAGTAATGTGATTATATTTTTTAGTCTTATTCTTTTACAAGATATTCTTTTCATCCTTCGACTGAAAACAACCTCCTGTTGTCAGCACCACTCTCCTTCATGTGACAATTCATAATTTGACGTGTTTGCTACTACTATATTCATCAAACAGAGTAATGAGGATGTTAAGTCATACTGACAAGCCAAGTGCTACCTACTGTGTGAATGGACAACTCAAAACAATCCTATAGCAGTTATTAATTAAGTCTTGTGTGCTAGCAGGGGTTACTACATAGGGAGTCTTCTAGCTTGTAAGAACAGAGTAGACTGTTCGCTATATAGGGCACAGATGTAGAAAGTCTTAAAGTGAAACTGTCAGCAAAAATCTAAAAACAAAAAAACAAAAAGTTTTAACTGCCAATATTTGTAATTCTGTTCAGCAACTCTGGTGATTCACTTACTGCATAGGGATGTAGAAGGGTGACTGTAATATAAGCAGCTTTTCAGATATGGTTTCTCTAGATGTCAGGTAAGGATGGGTTGGGGTTCGTGTGTCTCCAGAGCAAGCATGCTCTTTGTACTTTGGATGAACATGACCACACTGGTGGACATTGCTGGCACCCACAATGTTTTAATGATTATTACTGTACAGGGAATTATGAAAAGTACATTTAATTAAAGCCTTATGCAGTTATACTAGCATTAAAAAACAGATACATGACAACTTCACTTTAATAAAAAAAAGCTCTAGTCCCTCTCCCCAGCCCCCTAACCTAATCTGACCTAGAACAATTCACCCTCCTTGGTGCTTATTGACCTCCCCTTGACAGAGCGTGCCAGTAGTGCTGGAGAAGATTAAAGTCCAGGGGTTGTATACAATGGAAAAGGTTGCCACTGTCCTGCAGAGGTAAGCAACATCTGGATGGGGGAAGAGGGCATGATTAGTTAAAGCGGCTAGGGAGGAAGGTCTATTTTTTGTGCTTTACATTCCTGGACTATACATTGTCTTTTATATTAGAGAGAGACACAAATAAAATATCTATAGGAGCACACAGATGTATATTCTGTGATGACAGTTGTAGGTACCAATATGTTCTTTTCCTAGTAGGTCATTTAAGTTCTCTAAAGATTCCAAAGTAATTTAATTGTCTTCCAGTACATCCAATGGTTCATTTCCCACAACAATAATTAAAATAATAGTTCTTTTGACCATAAACTAGTATATTGCAAACCTATATTTAGTATTTAATTTATCTTAAGGAGTTTATTTATTTTGGATGTAGATTATTAAGCACTAGGCTTTAGCAGTGATGGTTGTAATATTAAAGTCGTTTAAAATAATCATAGTGGTTTGTCTGAGGCAGAAGCGTCGTTAATAGAACATTAAATCTGCATCTTGGACAAGTATTCATTAACGGAATATCTACAGTTTAATGAGCTTGCCCAGATTTTCTCAATTTAATGATCTGTCTCGGGGATTCTTCTTCTTTGTAGCAAGTGCTGTAATACAATCATAGCTGGACTAAAACAACATTTTTACAGTATAACAAAAGATTGTTTGCAAGTTAATTTTAACTATAGGTTTTTCTGTTTTTTTGTTTTTTTTTTGTAGATACAGCCTGGTTGGTGGGAATTCTCAGTTCACAATTAACCCCTCTACCGGACAGATAATAAGCAGTTCGTTGTTAGATAGGGAGATGAAGGACAACTATACGCTGCTCATTATGGCTACTGATGGAGGATCACCAAGCTTATCAAGTTCAACAAGCGTGACAGTTAGCATTCTTGATGTAAATGACAACCCGCCAAGATTTTTACATCACCCATACGTCACCCATATTCCATCACCAGCATCTGCAGGTAAATATATGTTATTGTTTGATTCATATATGTAATGTATTCATGTATGTAATCTCATTTTAGATTTGCGGACATTTAAATATCATAATTATATGCTATTTTTAGTAGCAGTATTTTGGAATACCCACTTGCAGTCATCGTATACCATTAACTTTAGTTTAGAGTATATTCGTAGCCAAAACTTTTTTCTTAGTTTTGGATGGAATAGGGAAGGATTGGAAGCCCTGTCAGATTTTTTTGATTGTATTGTGGTAAAGGGGTGGGAGGTCCGGACCCTTGGGTAAAAAGATTACACGTGGGTTTACTGACAGCGCTTTAGTCATATAGGAGCTTGTATAGAGGTTCTAGTAGAAACTTGTAAAATGGAGTAATGCTCAAAGCGCCAATCCACTAGTTTGTCACCAGAACAGATATTATTAGTTGTAGCAATCAAGAAAATCTGTTTTTTTGGGGGTGGGTTATAATGGTCCCCCTTCATCAAGGCTAAAAAGAGTTGTCTAACAATTGGTATGATGTTAAAAGAATAACAAGTATGACATATACAAATCTAAGAAGGCATATGAGTAAATTATATGATATTTATTTAGAGAGTAAATCCAAATATAAGACAGCCCTGATGAGGGGGCACCTTTGGAACATTTTGTTGATTGCTTTGACTACTAAAGCTTATTCTGGGACAAACTAGTGGTTTTTGTGCATGTACCACTCTTCTCTGCTAGGTCGATTCACCTTCTCTGGTATCCTGGTGGGAAATCCAGAATTTTACCATTGTAACCAGATTAAGATGTAAAAGGTAAATCTTAAAGGGAATAAACATTCTTGTGATAAGTATCTGAGAGGGGCATTCCTCTCACTTCCTGTTGTATTTCTAGAACAGGATGTGAAGATAAATACTCTCAGTAGGACACAGAGAAAGAAAATAATTCATTAACAGGGGTTTTAAACCTCCCTTCTCTAGCCAAAACTACAAAAATAAATTGGCTATCGATGGGCTTTTTGTGTATGTATGCTCTTACTTCTGTATAATTTTATTAATTTTATTTATTTATTTCCTTTTTAGACTCATTTGTGTTTGCTGTGACAGTTACTGATGAAGATATTGGATCCAATTCAGAGCTTCACTTTTCTTTGAAAGGTCGACATGCAGACAAATTTCACATAGACCCTCTGCGTGGTGCTATAAGAACAGCAGAGCCACTCGAGGGGGCTTCCGAGATCACATTTTCTGTTCAAGTTAAAGACAGTGGAGTTAATTCAAAGTCAGATTCTACCACAGTGACCGTAAGGTTTGCTAACAAAGCTGACTTCCCACAAATAAGAGCAGATCAAAAGGTCTTTGCATTTCCTGAGAATCAAGAAGTAGGAACATTGGTAACCACCATTTTTGGATCATCAACAAGGGATGGAACATTATCTTTTTATATCTCCAGTGGTAATTTTGGCAATACATTTCATATTGATGAACTAAATGGGCAGCTTTACATCAAGAACCCATTAGATTATGAAACTATATCAAAATACGTTCTGTGGATTGAAGCCAGAGACATGGGTTTTCCTCCATTCTCCTCCTACCAAAAGATAGAAATAAATGTTTTAGATATCAACGACAATATGCCACAATTCAAACAAGACCCATTTGTAGCAGAAATTATAGAGAACCTTTCTCCACGCAAAATACTTACAGTTACTGCAAAGGATGAGGACAGTGGATCAAATGGCCAAGTGGACTATGTTATAGTTGATGGGAACAGAGATAATTTATTTAGTATAAATAGAGTCAGTGGGGAGATTAGAAGCACAAGGATGTTGGATCGTGAAAAAGTTTCCCAACATATTTTAACCATCAGAGCATCTGACAAAGGGAATCCTCCGCAGAGCTCAGTAGTGAAAGTTGTCATCAACGTTTTAGATGACAATGATAATGCTCCACGATTTTCTCAGATCTTTAGCGCTTCTGTTCCAGAGAATGCAGCTTTGGGCTATGTGGTTACCCAGGTTACAACCTCAGATGAAGACTCTGGTGCAAATGCAGTCAGCAGATATACAATCGCAGATACTAGTCTGCCTTTCCATATTAACCCTAGTACCGGTGTGATTACAGTAAGCAGACCAATAAACAGGGAAGATAACGATCGCTATATTGTTAGAGTTTCTGCTCATGATTCAGGATGGACTGTAAGCACAGATGTGACCATATTTGTGACCGATGTCAATGACAATGCTCCACGATTTAGTAAGCCATCATATTACTTAAACTTTCCGGAAACCACTGAGCCTGGAACCAAGATTACCCAGGTTTTGGCATCTGACCCAGATGAAGGTCTTAACGGTCAAGTATATTTTTTTATTAAATCTCAGTCTGAGTTTTTCCGGATTAATGCAACTACTGGAGACATTTTCAATAAGCAACACCTAAAGTATCAGAACCCCAGCACCTCTGGTAACATTAATATCAACAGGCACAGTTTTATAGTCAGTGCTTCTGATCGAGGTAGCCCTCCTCTTATGAGTGAAACAACTATATCAATAAACATTGTTGACAGCAATGACAATCCTCCTAGATTTTTTCAGAGTAAATACTTTAGTCCTGTTGCCAAAAATGCAAAAATCGGTACAAAATTAATTAAGGTTACAGCCACTGATGAAATAGATTTTGGACTCAATTCTCAAGTGGAATATTCAGCTGAAAACCTTGGTGGAAAGTTTCATATCAATAAAGAATCTGGCTGGATTAGTGTGGCAGCCTCTTTAATGATGGACTTAAATAAAAACTTTTTGATTAAAGTTACAGCAAAGGACAAAGGCAGTCCTCCACTTTCCTCCCAAGTAATAGTTAACATTACTGTGACTGAGGAAAACTATCATACACCAGAATTCTCACAAAGCCACATAAGCATTACTGTCCTGGAAAGTTTTACAGTTGGAGCAGTTATCAGGGCTGTGTCAGCAAGGGACAGGGATACATCTATGAATGGAGTGATCACATATAACATAACAGCAGGAAATGAATTTGGTCTCTTTGCTATAAACACGTCCACAGGTGCATTATCTTTGTCCAGAAACCTGGACTATGAAGTATGCCAAAAACATGACTTAACCATAAGTGCTGTTGATGGAGGATGGGTCGCTAAAGCAGGTTACTGTGTTGTAACAGTGCATGTTAAAGATGTGAATGACAATCCTCCTGTTTTTCAAGCAGATGAATACTTGCCCAGTGTCACAGAAAATGCACCTAGTGGAACTATGGTTATGCGTTTGAATGCAACTGATGCAGACTCTGCCCCTAATGCAGTAATAGCATATTCAATTCAGTCATCAGACAGTGACCTTTTTGTGATTGATCCAAACACTGGTGTGATAACCACTCAAGGATTTCTTGATTATGAAACAAAACAGAGTTACCACTTGACCATTAAAGCTTTCAATGTTCCTGATGAAGAGCGCTGCAGTTTTGTGACAGTGAGTGTTCAACTAGAAGGCACAAATGAATATGTACCTCGATTTGTTTCAAAAATGTATTATTTTGAGGTTTCTGAAGCTGCCCCTCAAGGAACTGTAGTTGGGGAAGTGTTTGCTAGTGACCGCGATCTAGGCATTGATGGAGAAGTTCATTACTTAATCTTTGGCAGTAGCAGGAAAAAGGGATTCCGGATAGAAAATAAGACAGGAAAATTGTATGTATCTGGCCTTCTGGACAGAGAGAAAGAGGAACGGATTTCATTAAAAGTCCTGGCTAAAAATATTGGCAGCATTCGTGGAGCTGATATTGATGAAGTCAATGTGAATATCACTGTGCTTGATGCTAATGATCCCCCTGTCTTCAGCTTGAAATTGTATAATGTACAAATTAGCGAAGGTGTACCTCCAGGAACACATGTCACATTTGTAAGTGCCTATGACTCTGATTCAGTTCCTAGCTGGAACAGGTTTTCCTACTTTATTGGCTCTGGGAATGACAAGGGTTCATTTTCAATTAACCCTCAAACTGGCCAGGTTACAGTTACTACTGAACTAGATCGGGAAATCACACCTATCTATAATCTTACTGTGCTAGCCATTGATTCTGGAACACCCTCTGCAACAGGAAGTGCAACTTTATTAGTATCTTTGGAAGACATTAATGACAATGGACCAACTTTAATCAACACTCAAGGAGAAGTTAAAGAAAACCATAGATCGGGAACTCATGTTATGACACTACAGTCCACAGACTTGGACCTTCCTCCAAATCAAGGTCCATTTAATTATTATCTACTGAGTACTGGCCCAGCAACTAGTTATTTCAGTCTTAGCCCTGGGGGAGTCCTTACTACAACCAGAGAAATTGACAGGGAACAAATCAATGAGTTTTTCCTATCTATTGTCACAAGAGATTCTGGTTTTCCACAAATGTCTTCCACAGGTACCGTGCATGTTAAAGTAATTGATCAGAATGACAACCCATCTGAATCAAGGACGGTTGAGATATTTGTTCATTATTATGGAAACCTCTTTCCTGGTGGCAGTTTAGGTAGCGTCAAACCTCAAGACCCAGATGTTCTAGATAGTTTCCAGTGTGCACTAACATCAGGCATTACAAGTCTCTTTAATATCCCTGCAGACAGTTGTGACCTCCACTCACAGTCAAGATCTACTGATGGAACATTTGACCTTTTAGTTCACAGCAGTGATGGCTTACACAGTGCAGTCACAAACAATGTCCGAATTTTCTTTACTGGATTTAGTAATGCCACAATTGACAACAGTATTCTGCTACGTATAAACATTCCAACTGTTAAAGACTTTTTAACCAATAATTATTTGCACTTCTTGCGCATAGCTAGCTCTCAGCTTACTGGGCTAGGAACTGCAGTACAAATCTATGGAGTATTTGAAAAAAATAACAAAACATATGTCATGACAGCTGTGAAAAGAAGTAACAATCATTATGTTAACCCAAGTGGAGTAGGTACTTTTTTTGAGAGCATAAAAGAAGTGTTATTGCGACAAAGTGGTGTATGGATCGAATCAGTAGATCATGATTCTTGTGCACACAATCCTTGTCACAATGGAGGCAGCTGCATGAGAAGACTTGCAGTGAGTCCAACAATACAAGTGCTCGAAAGTATTCCTGTAAGTTTAGTAGCCAATGAGCCTTTACAAACCTTCATATGCAAATGCATGCCTGGGTATGAGGGAAACCTATGTGAAACTGACATTGATGAGTGTCTGCCTCTCCCATGTCATAATGGTGGGACTTGCCACAACCTAGTTGGAGGATTTACCTGCAGATGTCCAGATGGCTTTGCCGGAATAGCTTGTGAGAGAGATATCAATGAGTGCCTTTCTAGTCCATGCAAAAATAGTGGCATTTGCCAGAACTTTCCAGGAGGCTTTAACTGTGTCTGCAAAACTGGTTCCACAGGTAAGATATTTTCTAAATTTCTTGTATGTTTAATAGAAATGCTGTATACTCCGTTAAAATTATTATAGAAAAGATGGATCTGTCACTCTTATCCTCACATAGATCTTGCTTCCACTCTTTTAGTACTCCAAAAGGGTTAAAGGGGCAGTGGAGGCAAGAATAAATGCATCCCATATCTACCTACTGTTTATTGATCTAATCTAGCCATAAACAAATACAATTTTTGGAGAGCTGCCAGTCTGGAAATGAGAAATTAGATACTTTGGGCATTCCCATCTTTATCTAGCGGGAAAATAGGGAAAGGCAGGTAATCTCCTAATTACTTAAAGGAGAACTATGAGATGAGTGATTTCCACTCACCTCATAGTTCTAGCCGACCTGTGACAATGAGACTGTCACAGGTTGGCTCAGTAGTTCGGGAGGTGAGCGAACACATACCGGGTACCGCTGTAGCTTGCGGTATACTGAGCTTAGGGTAATGGGAGGACGCTAGTTTGTGTCCTCCCGTTACCCTAAGGAGAACTATGGGGAAAAACACTGACCCCATAGTTCTCCTTTAAGGAATCCTTGCATTGACAAGAACTGTTTCCTGATGCAGATTTCCATCCTACATAGATGATTAGACTGTCACAAGATTCCTACAAAATTGTCAGTGTCTTGTAGCAATATTATAAAATGCATTGTAAGCCTTCTGGTGCCATTAAGGAATAAACCAGAGGGTGATTTTATATATAGGAATGATCCAGCCTCCTTGGATAAAACTGGCTTGGCCTAGCATACATATTTATGCTTACTGAGAGAGAAGAAGAGCTGTGTGCAGGTACTATAGACATGGAATGGTCTTGCAGTCTTTTTGATCAAGTTTAACCTGTAATGTTTCTCCCAATTCCATACATTATCATCCAAAATGCAATGCATAACTCATCTGCACTTTGTTATCTGTGCAACTCAGAATGTATTCACATTCTCACCAGTAGATGGCAAAATCTAATTGCCGTCAGGGTATTTTGAACTGAAGCCAGACTGTAGACTTTTTAAACTCCAAGTTATCATTTAGCAGCTAGGTCTTTTATAGTGCAGTGTAATTTAGCTGTTATGGGCAGCTTATGCTATAGTTACACTATTGCATATAGCTTAAACATCTTGTTTATAGTGCAATTACTGTATATAGTCTGTGTTTATAATGCATGTAATTGAAAACCATCTCGACTAAGTGAGTCAGACAGTCCCAGTCGGCTGCGAGTGAGCCAGAGGTCAAACTGTCCTGGTATTTATATAGACCAGAAAGCACAATGAATATTAATATATAGCTCTTCATTATCTGTGCACGCTTGTGCATTAGTCTGTGTAGCTGAAATATTCCTTAATCAACATGAATCCTTGCTTTAGATGTTTTACCATATTTAGATACTTAAATCTCTGTGGATGGAAGTATTTGACAGATAGGAACCATACTCCTTCAAACATTCCCTGTCCACTTCATGATTCAGTTTGATTGCCTGCAAATTTTTCAACATGTGGAATTGTCATTATCTTATAAAGTGGACTTAGGATGGAAATCCACACTTATGATTTGGCTTTTTTTGCAGGAACATATCTAGTGATCACATTCTTTTGGTGAAGGGTTAAATGTTAAAAAAAGTTTCCCTTTTCTTTGTTTTGGAATATATTTTTATAGATATGAATGCTTGTGTTAGTATTAATGTTTTAAAAAATCATATAAATGAAATAGCTCACTAAAATCCAACTCAAGCTTATAGGGTACTTACTGTACATATGAAAGGTTTTGGGTGGATGTCTGAGATTCAGACTCCATCCACCTGAATAAAATCTCCACAATAATAAAGCTAAGTAACGTAATCAGTGCTGCGATGAGAGTAAAGCCAGGAACTCCAGGGCTGGGTTCACACCTGGGCGTAGCATAGGCACATTTTTTCTGCTCATTTTTCTGCTCATATTTTTTCGCACGTTTTTCCATTCAGTGAAATGTGCGTTTCACTGGCGGTATGATTTTTCCCCCCTTACTTGCTCTATTTAAAAAAAAAATATTTATTTTTTTTCACTTTCAAACTTCCCGCCGGCTCCGCCCCCCTGCGATGCGGCCGCTCGCAAGGGACGGAACCCGGAGGTCGGCAGCCGCCAGAGGTCACAACGTGGATTGCGGAGAAGGTAAGTCCTACGCTGTATTCCCGAGTGTGGCTCAGGGTTACCGCTTTGTTAACCCCGAGCCACACTCGGGAATACCAATGGAAACGCGCGGAACAAACGCCCCAAAGAAGCTCTTTTGTTGATGCTTTGTGATTGCATTTGCAGATAAAGCACAACCTGCGTCGGTGGTCACACTGGGAACCCTTCGCACTTCTTGGTAATATTTTTTGTATGATTAAAGTGTATACAGCTTCATATTTTTCACTAATCTAAGTGAACATTCACTTTACTAAAGGGCTTATTTTTAAAGAAGCTAAAATAACATTATCTAAACATTCACTGCAAGTGAATCTTCTTGGTACATGCGTTTTAAATTAAAGTAATTAATCCACCTGCAATGAATGTTTGGTGACTGTTGCAGTCACTTCATAAAAAAAGTGAACATTCTCTACTACTTAAGTAATAAATCCAATAGTACAACCTGCACAGTTGCTTTTAGTCCAGGTAGTGAGATGATGAGATCCATTTAAATGTTTGCATCAATGCATGTGCATTGTGTTGAGGCAGTCCATATTAAAAATATTGGGCTGCCAATGTGCCAAAACATCCCAAAAATAGGACGTCATGTGTTTTGTGTTTTGTTGCAGTGTGTAGCAGTGTGCAGCTATGCATGCGTGTTGCTTTAGTGCCCTGGGGTGACATTCAAAATTAATGACAAAATAATGCAGCAATGCAAAGATGTAAATGGGCCCTAAGAAATATAATAATACATTACAGTAGATGTTTAACAACAGAAAATGGCAACAGACTGTTTAATATTTGAGTTGAGCTGGTGTTTATTGAAATAATGTATCTTATGAAATAACATAACTACTTACAGGGGCTGTAAAGGAATAACTTGAACTCCCCAACTGAAATGTTACTTCTTTATTCCAGCATTTGTTACAGTTCTGAATGTGCCCTCTTGAAATGTTCTAGAATGAACTCTTTATGAATTTATAATCTCAATATCTAATGTTTTTATTGCTAGGTAAACTGTGTGAATCTGCTATAAATTATTGTGAATGCAACCCTTGCTTTAATGGGGGGTCCTGCCAAAGTGGAGTAGATGGATATTATTGTCATTGTCCTTTTGGTAAGTAGATATACTTTTGGTTATTCCTTTGAGTGAATCATAGTTTTTCAGTTTCAACTAAACTAAAGTGCATAGCTTTGAAAAGTGGAAATAGCTTGGCTGAAAGACGTATTACACGTTTTAATAAAGCCTTAACATTATATACACAGACCTGAGGCCTCCCAGATTCTCATCTGGTCTACTGTCCCTTTCCTCTTCCAGCAGGGGTGCAGTAATGAAGCAGGGAGCCTGGCTGGTGGTCATTTGACACCCGCCCCGGGTTACTGATTGGATGGGAAGCCTGGGAAACCGCAGCAATGCTCACTCGAAGCTTCCCAAGCACCAAGGAATATGTCTGTTATGTGAGGAATGTAAGTGGCAAGTGCTGCTGCTCTCTGTATCGCTGAACTAGTCACAGAGAAATCTTTGTGATCTCTCTAACAGCTCAGTGACAAATCACGGTGCCCACTGTTGCAGTTTCGGTGTTGCGCTCGGGGTGATTAGAGTGTGCCCAGGCACACCCGCCACACCTTGTGCACACATCTATGCTACTATTTAAACTAGACTAGTAAAAAAAATTCTGTCTTTGGGTACCCATACATGGGTGCAAATTGTTGTTTAATATTAATAAAGTTGACTTTTTGGACAACTGTCTGATTAGATATTAGCATAGTAACTGAGAAAGTAGTTGATGTTTACATAAAATTTGTTGTCCAACCCAGCATGAGAGAGTTTTGAGATGCCTGGAGACAACTTACTATCCATATTTGCAATGTGCATACTCCGGGGAATGAGGCAAAATTAGTCTAGTAACATCTTTATAGTACACTTCCCTCGCTAGGTTTTTGGTATATAATATCACTTAAAAGAAAAATTGTATGGCCATGTGATTGACTTCATAAACATTCATTTCATAACAATAAGGTGATCTAAGAAGTTGTCACTTTATGCTACTGTGTAGTTGAGCCAGAAAAAAAACCAGACTATATGGTGCAAAGGTTCTGTCACTCCAGAAAAAAAAATTTACACCACAAATATCCGAAGTATGTGTTAAAAACATACTGAGGGGAATTCATCAAAACTGGAGCAGATAAAAGCTGGAACAAATTTGCACTGCAACCAATCAGCTTCTCTGTCTCATTTTCAAATCTTATCTGAGCAAACTGAAGAGAGATGCTGATTTGTTGTCATGGGCAACTGCTCTAGATTTGTCTGCTCCAGAAACAATACAAAATTGACTACATAAATTTAATGTACTGTCTTGTTCACTTCACTTAGTTTCATGCACAATATATAAATGAAACCTGGTATATTTAAAATAGATTAAAATATATAAACTGTAAAATAAAACACTGGTCATGATCAGACCTACAAATACAACACTGTAGTATAGATATTCAATTAAAATCTGATCCAAATACACTTCACTTTACAAGAACAAAAACCTATGAAGTCACATAGTTCCTCTATCACCTTTACTACAGCTCATCTTTAATTTTGAATAATGCAGACTTGGAACAAGAATAGTTGTAAAGTGCCAATAGGATAGACTTTTGGAAAGAAAACAGCTGAGAAAGTTAAAGAGAGATGTCTTTAAATAATTAGAGCTAAGTCTTCATACATCTTGGAAGACACAGTCTGGTAAATCACTTCTTTCCATTCCCCTGAAAGCCAGAGATATGTATTCTTATAAAGCAGTTACCTCATAACTGTTGGTGTGTGCTTCCAGCCTTTCTGTGTGCATATAACCCTATTTATCAGAGTGGTCATCACAGCTTTGAAAGAATTAAGGGAAGGGCAGTCAATTAGTTATCTTGACATTGTTGTTGAGCCTTGGAGGAACAAAGGACATGCCCTAAATAAGTCATCTTTTGGGACATGAGGAGGACAAATGTTAAAATAGAAAGCTAAAAACATAGCTTTAAAGCAATCATGAAAACATAGATTTTCTTCCGTCTTTGTACAATGCCATATCCATAAATAGGCCACACAATATGCAGTTTTTCTAAGCTGATGCAGAAAAAAAAGTACACATCTCTTGCAGTAATTATTTAGTTATTGGTCAATAACAAGCAGCAATGGAAATCTACCAAAATGTATCCGGTTAGCTTTCTGTTATTGCAATAGGAGAAATTTCAATCCACATTTAAATTAGGTTCAGAACTTTAGCCAATACACATGTTTGGGAACTGCTTTTAGAACAAACCTTAGCTCATACTTGGTGAAATATTTGCCTTGATATGTCTTGCTTTGGTCCAAGATTGAAACTGCAAACACCTTGGCCAGTTGTTACTTGCTCATTTTCCAAGGTCCTATTTATTAATTTTTTTTCTTAGCGATGACAATAAATGTAGAATTTCAGTGTCTGTATCTAGACAGAGGAACCGTAAGCTTAAAGTAAACATGGCTGGGCAATTCAGACTAAACACACTGATGATTAAGCATGAATGCATAGGTCAACATTCCTTTTGATAAAAACATTTGAAAATGATCAGTAGATACAGATATATTATCTGCTGAAATAGAATACGGTATCAACTTTTTCTGTGTAATGCGGCCCCATCCACTTCACTTCTGTAGCCTAACTCTTGGTTCTTTAATGTGATGGGCATTCTCACTGGCCAAAAGCCTGGCCTGTATAATGCGGCCCCATCCACTTCACTACTGTAGCCCTACTCTCGGTCCTTTAGTGTGATGGGCCTCCTCACTGGCCAAAAGCTTAACCTGTGTAATGCGGGCCCATACACTTCACTTCTGTAGCCTCACTCTTGGTCCTTTAATGTGATGGGCATCCTCACTGGCCAAAAGCCTGGCCTTTTTCCTGTAAGTTCATCTGTCTCTAGAGCTACTGATTATTTGACATGCAGTTTTGATAAGGGATATTTTAACCTTTAAAATATTTATTTATCATATGTTTGTTTCAAGTGCCCAGGTTTGTGAGATGTTTTCTTTATAAAGAAAGAACAAGCAGTGCTGAAGTCAAAAGATATATAACTATTTGTTTTCTGAGATGATGGATAAACCTTGGATTGCTTTTGCTTTCAACAAGGCAAAGACACAGATTTTACCTCTATGGAATACTTCTCAGTCTAGCTCTCCTCCTTACCAGCTCATAACTGATGGTCTAATATCTGTGCTGAGACCATTGTCATGTGCAAAACTGAACTGAATTATACATTATTATGGTTCAGTGTTTTTATGTTGTTGCTGTGACTTTTTACATTATACTTTAGAAGAAATATAAATGTGACTCAAGCATTATGCATATATTTATCTTGTATTCAATATTTGAAAAATCTGTAATAGTTTGTTTATTGTACTGATGGCATTGTTCTCCAATTAATAAATAGTTACCTGGAGCAAAAGTATGTATTCATTATGGCCCTGAAAATTAGCAGCTTTGTTTAAAGGAGAACTATGAGTTGAGTGATTTTCACTCAACCTCATAGTTCGAGCCAATGTGTGATAATGAAACTGTCACACGTCGGCTCAATAGATCGGGAAGTGAGCAAACACATACCGGCGCTCGCTCACTTCTCGATCATGTCCCTGCAGAGAGGTGTGACTGTCACTCTCGGCTCCCTGCAGGTATTCCCCTCCCCCCGCTCCGATCCTCCAGCGCTGACTGGCGGAACAGATGGGGGAGGGGGTCGATACAGCTGGCTCTGCCTCTAGATAGGCAGAGCCAGCTGTCAATCACGCAGCTGGGTGGATCTCGACAGTAATGTCGGGATCTGTCCCGACTGCGGCGGTCTCAGTATACCACGAGCTGTAGCTCACGATATACTGAGCTTTGGATCACGGGATGGCGTTAGTTTATGTCTTCCAGTGACCCTTAGGAGAAATATGGGGAAAAACACTTCCCCCATAGTTCTCTTTTAACAATTATCAATGCTAGTGCCAAGGGAAATCCAGGTGATATCTGGTCCTATTAGTTTAACTGAATTCTAAATATTTGTTTAAATGGATCAATTAAAATAATTATCATCTTATCTGTTTAATTGGGACATTTCATCCCAGTAAAGTGAGTATTTGTTTTGCATTCATACCTAAAAATCAGCTGTTTTTGGTGGTAAGCTCACATTTTCCATACATTGCAACTGCAAAAGAACTGGAAATTTGCTCTAAAAATAGTCAACACTACAAGTATGTCCAAACTGAAAAGGTGATAAAACGAGTGCATGATGTCAGATGTCTGTTGCCATCATCATTTACAAAGAAATAAAGAAATGTACATTCTCGTTAAAGATAAGCCAGACCTCTACATATCCAGATGACCTTACTTTGAATTTTAACTAGATTATTTCATACTCTTCACTTACATTTATAAGAACATTTAAGGTTTATTGAGGCTGTATAAAATGGTAAGCCAAATTCCCCCAAACTTTTTTTATATATATATATCATTGAATCATACTTTTTGTCTCTTTGATAACACACTAAAGAAGAGATCAGCCACAACAAGTTCACATGAAAAATGAAGCAAATTCATCTTTATCAAATAGCTGCATTGCTTTCCACGTGAGCGCAAGCTTAAAAAACCAGAAGGAATGAGAGACAGAATATGATTAATGAAGTGCAGGAAGCTACATTTGACTACATTTGCAAGGGAAGAAAAACATTAACAAATACCTGTGTAGTGAGACAATCTCTTGTACTAATTTTCTATTCTCTACCTGGCTCCAAATTGCTGTTATGGTGATTCACTTTAGCTGATCCTGGTAGAAATGTTAAGATATTAAAATACTACATTCTAGGAATGGTGCTTTAAATATAGCTAAATCAACAAATTAGACATAATTTGTGTCTTGTAAAGTTATTGCAAAAAATAGTGATTGGTGTTGTCCAGCAAAAACATATGACAAAGCATTGCCAGCTCTGGATAAAAGTGCTGCAGTTAGAAGAAATTCAGACATAATTATTTGATAATGGCATTCAGTGTTTTCAGTATTTTGTTCAATAGTTTTATATGGGGTTGAGGACTTAGCTGGCTAAGCATGGAGGCCATGGTCCATGCAAGTTGTACAGTACAGCTAGGGCTTACCTAGAGTTAAGCTGGCCATACACCTATAGATTATCTGCAGATTTTCTAAGGTCAGATGGAAAAAGTGCAACAGATTCCTCCATCTATGCTAAACTGTGTGGATGGAGGAATCTCCCACTGGGCAAAGCTTCAGTATCTTACTAGTCGGCCCTGCGGGCTGTCAAAATACCTGAACAATCTGATTGGATGCAGGCATTGTTCAGGTATTTTGAGAGCAAGATACGGAAGCTTGGCCCAGTGGGAGATTGCTCCATCCACACAAGTGTAGCGTAGATGGAGGAATTTGTTGCACTTTTTCCATCTGACCATAGAAAATCTTCAGATAATCTATAGGTGTATGGCCAGCTTTAGAGAGGGAATAGTATTGATTTGTTGACATACATAAATTGTTACCCTTACCCAACTTAAGTTATTAGATAATCAAATTATGGGTGGGTCAAGATGCCTCACCCAAAGATATACTAATGTTAGACCAGCAATGAAATGCCGCACCTTAATGCTACCAAAACTGTTGTAGTATTAAACCACCATATGTATTTGAATATTAAGTAATACATTGAAATTCGTAGCATTTTGGCACCTCACATTAGTCAATTTATCGTAGAAGGACCTGGTTCTGGTCCTGGGCCTGGTTGCCTCATTCTATTACTGACAAGCTAATGTATAAATCCCACACCCAAATCCCACTACAAATGATACTTATACTGTTTCAATACCTCTGAGGGTCTCCTGATGAAGCATGCTATAGATTACCTGTAAAATGTGTAGAGTGATCCTTGCTCCACTGAATCATCTGCATCCTTTACTTCATTACTAATTTTACTACAAAGTATGTGGGATTTTCTTATAGCTGGTCAGTTGTAGATTGAGGCAATCTACTATTGACCCTGGAGACCCTTCTAGGATCAGTTACCTGATGTGAGGTGCCAAAATGCTTTAAAGTTTAATGTTGCTTTTTTTTTAAATTAAAATATTTATGGTGTTTTAATATTACTACAGTTGTTCTGGTACTGTTAAAGTCTGACATTTTTTCAAATAGTTATTTTGCCCACCTTATGCACAGCTAAAAAATACAACTAGGGTTAGACTATAATTTAATTGTATGTACAAATAAGCTCTACTCTGTGTGCACTAGGAGCCAGTCTAGATGTTCCGTGAGCTGAAACATCAAAGTTTATAAGACCATATTTGATTTTATAGTGTATAAATATTACTTAGTAAATTTGTGTTTAAATGTTTCTGTCTGTCAGCCTATAATCATATTTAAGTAAAATTAGTTACTCCAGGATTTGCATGGGTACTGTCCTAATTACCTGCACCCTTAAAGGAATTTCTATTAGTATTTCACTGCACTGAAATATATAAGCTGTCTGGAGTAGGAAGAATAGTAGACAATATCTTTAACTGGCAAATTAATTCCAACTGTTGTATTTTGGAAAAGTGTGTGAATAGCACCAAGAGCAATGCTTTGTTCTGCCCTTACATACAATTTTTACAAATAAAGCCCTTTGTAATGGTTTTAGTTGCCCTTTATTATGTGTCATGTCGTATTCTGAGAAATATAGGTATATTTTACTGACACACATTTTAGTATAATGGATAAAAAGCTGTGAGAAAGCAGCATGGTCATTAAAATAAAGCCTACTTAGAGTGGCATTGTTAAATTACTAAAGACACCTCAAAATAAATCCATAGCACTTAAGTGGTAAAAGTTAATATAGGAAGTAGCTTGCTCAAGGCAGTAAACAGAAGTTGTGCAAAGATGGACATGCATTTTAATTCCACTCTTTTCTTTATATTCTCCATTGTTGTGTAGGTGTCTTTGGAAAACATTGTGAATTAAATAGTTATGGATTTGAGGAGCTTTCCTACATGGAGTTTCCCAGTCTGGACCCCAACAATAATTATATTTATATAAAGTTTTCTACCATTAAACCCAATGCATTACTGCTGTACAGTTATGATAACCAGACGGGCGAAACAGCAGAATTTCTTGCTTTGGAGATTGTAGAAGAGAGGATGAGGTTTTCGTATAACTTGGGAAGTGGAACATACAAGCTAACCACAATGAAGAAAGTCTCAGATGGACATTTTCATACAGTGATTGCACGCAGAGCTGGAAAGGTAAGGACTTGTTTCTATTATAATATTATACTTATACCCTGTTAGTTGTAGTCATTTAGTCTGTGATTTGTTTTACATGTTAATCTTCTGTGTTGACAATGTACAGTAGTTTTTCAGTTTTCCAAAATAATTACAAATATAAATACCCTGCATATTAGAATTAGTTTGTGCAAAGAGAATGATCCACCAATGCATTTTCTTTAAGCTTTTTATTTTTCTTTACTCTTCATTCATGGCTGTAATTGAACTAGTATTTTAAAATAATGTACAGGAACTGTTTGCTGCTGAGAAAATACATCGAAATATGTCTTGAGTAGGCTTACATTATAGGGCTTTAAGTATGTGGACACCCCCTCCAAATGTGGACGTCTTAAGACGCCCACCCGCTCTGAGCAGACTTCCGTCCGGCCGTTCACGAACGGCCATGGACGGAAGGTGGTTAACATATACAAAATCAGGCCCGTAAATTCTCTGAATGGACACAAATGGCCACAGACACTCCAAAAATCTTGAAGAAAGCCTTCATAGCCACAAATGATGGACAACTCCATTCAATGCCCATGGTTTTGGAATGGAATATCCAACCGTTTTATATAGGTGTAATAATCAAAGGTCAACAAACGTTTGGCCATATCATGGCCGTAGTTTATCTGTAAGGACATTGGTGTGTTGGTGATGGTGGTTATATAAGTTTTTTTTACATAATGCTTAACTACATGTGGATTTAAATTTAGAAAATACACCCTCCAAAAAAAAACCTTTAAAAAAGTTTTTCTCTCCTCCATCCCCACTCTGAATGACAGCTCTGAATTGCTATGTATTACTTAGCCCGGAAGGCTGTCAAAATGAAGCTACCCCTGTGTAAAATGACCCCTGTAGATAGTCAAGTGTAACTTGAGTAATAAACTGTAACAATGTTTTGTTACTTTGTATTTACTATTTAATTCATATGTAGATGAAAGGCACAATGCTTGATCTGCATCAGTTACCTTACAAAAGCAATTTTTTTTTAAATAAAGTGTATTTCTATTTAACATCTTACTGGCCCTTAGTTAACCCTAATCAGCCCTCCTTTCTCTCCTTAATTATATATTTTTTGTTTTCTTTTTTTATCAATGTTCATTTTTTTTATTTGCATTCAGTGTCACATGAAAAGGGGCAACATTAAAAGAGTACCTTTCTTCATTTGCATTTTAAATAGGACAAATGATAGAGTAACATATTTTTTACAGTAAGACTACTTTTTTAAAAAAAAAATAACACCAGTCAAAATATAAAAAAATGCATTTTATTTTAGGAATTTTGTCTATAGATTACATAGAAAATAAGGTAATTTTTTTCAAGACAATATTGCCAAAAGAAAGCCTAGTTGGACTAACCACCACCACCACCAAAAAAAAGTGTATGCATTACTTTCTTATTTTACGTAATGACAAAGTTATCACAGAATAAACAGCCCCCTAGCGTAAATGTAGAATTTGTCCTGGTATACTGCAAGGAAATGAGGGCTGCCTGCATGTTCTCCCTGTGCTTGCACGGGTTTCCTTCTGGGTACTTCAGTTTCTTCCCAAACTCCAAAGACATTCTGATAGGTTAATTGGGTCTTGTCTAATCTGACCCTAGTATGTGTGTACAAACAGACTTTGTGCCTGCTCATTTAATCTTAAATTAATGAATATGCTGTTGTAGTTTAGTGTGCTGTTCATATTTAATTCTAAAGATATTTCTACAGAAAGTTATTCAAAATAAATGTTCATCTACTATTTTTTTTTGCATTGAAGCCAGTAAAGCATTACACACGTGATCAGTGAATCATGGGTGCACTGCAGTGCTCTGGCTCCTGCAGATGTTTCCTTCTGTCCATGTCATTACCTCGGTATGGACATTTACTAACATAGACTGGAGGAAGTGTTCGTGCACTACAAGTGTGATGATATCACTGCACTTGTATTCCATTGAGAGCTTCAGGTCCCTCTGCCACAGTGACTATTGGAACTTTCTCCAGCTTCTCCATTCAAAGACTCTGTCAAAGGGTCATTAAATGGATGCGGCAGTGTAGGTGGAGCCACACAAAGCTGTTAATTTTATAAAAACAACACCAACCTGCACGGAGAAGAACCCCACAATTCAGGTAAGTGGAGGAGCGTGAGGGGTTCAGGAGTTGTTTGATGTTACTATGTTTCATGGCACACCCGGAATATGGGTTCAACATAAAACAGTCAGAAGAGTAAAGTTAGCCTTTTAACTTTACTGGATATTGAGAGCAGTTCATAACTATGTAACTCTAGTTCCACTAATCTTTCCATTTAACATCTTAGCTTGTGTTACTATATTCTCATTTGACAGGTTCAGATAGTTCTGCTTCTAATATTAAACTTAAAATGACTGCTAACAGTTTTGGCAACTCATCAGTCTTTTATAAACATCTATTATTATCATCGGGAAAAAAAAATTAAATGAGTGTTTTGGAACTCTCTTTTTACTTATTGGAGGGTACTGACAATAAATGTAAAGTCTTTGGACATATTTTAGACAAATATGTGGAACTTGGCATCATAGCCGAACTTGGCTAATGAGGCTGCATATTGCAACATCCTGTGGGGGCACCCACATCTGGGTTTTCACCTCTTTAAACCATTTATTAAAATAATTTAAAATTATTGGATTAGGCACAGTTCTAGTATTCCCTTCCCTCCACTCATTCTTCCCATCATTTCTGTCTTTGTTAAAGTTGTCTCACTGTCCAGGAAACATTTACTGTCTCTAATTGGAATAATGTAATAAGGACTTGGGAGGTCAAGGAAGAGTTCCGTGCACACGACCATTCTCCTTAAAGATGAACTCCAGGCATACAACTAAATACACAGTTAAAAGGCATGTAAGGGATTTGTCTTAACTTGTTTCTTTTCAACCAGTCCTGAGATTTACACAGTCCTGCAAGACAGTACAGCCGACCTGGTGAGCTGATGACTGTGCCCTACTACAGTCAGGTTACCTCCCTCCTGCCAGCCTGTGTTTGCACAGTAAGGAAGCAGCAACCGACCTATAAAGCTAAAAATATCAAATGACAGTAGAAATCATTTTAATGAGTTGTTGGCTGTGTTGTACTGCCATGAGATTGGAGTGCAAGTGTCTGGCAGGGTTGTTTGATCATTACTAATACTTTAGCTGATAAAACTATGTACTTAGTTACTTTCAGTAGCGGAACTGTGGCCGTATAAGCCGACACGGCCACTATGAGGGTTGGGGCAGAGGTAGTACCAGCCAGGAGCAGTGAGGTGTCCGAGTGGGTTTACCACAGCAAAATGCATATCTTCACTAAATCTGAAGGGGGGGGGTGTAATAATTGTTTACCCTGTCACCAATGAAGCTGGGTAAAGGGGTGTTTTATTTGCGCAGTGTAATTATAACCCACCCACCCTTTCCCCAGCTTCATTGGTGGTTTTGTCATTATAACGACCAATTTCGCCAGCTTCATTGGTGGCAATTGAAATATAACCCCCCGTTCCCCAGCTTCATTGATGACAGTGATAAAGTTGAAGGTAAAAATAAAACCCCTTTTAAACATTGCCTCTCCACTATGTGCAGTGATGGTGTTTTTTCCTCACTGGATAAACGCCAGTCATCACAAGGGCACACAGAAAATGAATGTGCACCGGATGTACTAGTGCACTAGATATCACTGCAGCACAGCTCCTAAATTTCAAAGCGGAATATCACCGCTCCTTCACAGCAGCACTAGAGAGAACGCCGGGTGCTCACCGGCTGTACCCGTCTTGCTCCAGCATCAGCAGATAGTCACAAAACAGGCTGCTTGCACACTGCCAACTTTGCTGAAAAATGTATTGTAGCCACAGGTACACATTGTCCCACTGTAGATCCTCCTCACTCTGACATGTTTTTCCCAGTAAGGGGCTTAGTCATAGAACATATCTATGACTAAGCCCCTTACTGGGAGAAACGTGTCAGGGTGAGGATGATCCATATGGGAAAATGTGTACCTGTGTGCTGCACTAAATTTGTTTAAAGTTTGCTGTGTGCGACTGGACTTTTTTTGTGAGTAACTGCTACTGCAGCACAACAGACACAGTGTGGAGATCTGAATTGGAGTGCACACTTTGGACACTCTAAACTCTAAACAAAGTTAAAAAAACTGTAAACAGTGCCAAGCAATTGGTAAAGCACATCACACAGCCCCCTCTCTACTCGCCCCTGCCCAGCTAAAACTGACATTTTGCTGCATGCCAAAACACGGCATGTGTGAACAGGCTCTTATATGGTATTTTTTTCTGTTTGGGGATGGGGACCTATAAAACTTTTACTATGAGTCTTGTGATTTCTAGTTTCTACTTTTATAGAACACTTGTGTAAGATTAATTGGTGATGATTAGTTGTAGATTGCACAAGATCATAACTTTTCAGTTTTTCCATCACTGGAAGGGCACCGGGCACCGGGCACAAAGGGGCCAATTCACAAAATCCTTTCTGCGCATTAGTTTCATCACCTGTGCAGAAATATTGCATTGACTAATTCTCAATACTCATTAGATCACATTATCAATACAAATACCGTGCGGTATGTAGTATTTTAACAAATCATGTGATATTTTAACACTCATTACCATATTGTGTTGCCAAGAAGGTTATTACTACTTGAAATATCAGTGCTATTGCCAAATAAAATATTGTGAATTTCTGTGAGGTGTTTACTGAGGAGAGCCCGTGTTGAGAAACAGGGCTAGAGATAACGGATGCTCCCATTAAACATGCATATTTATAAATGCTGAGTTCCCACATTTACATTACAGCTGTAATGTAATGCAGGTTAAACAATGAACAGCATTACCAATTACAATTCTGGAGTGTATCATCATGATTAAATAATACCACTTTCTAGCGAACAAAAATATTTAAACACGTCTTGCACTCTTTACTTAGGTTATGATAAATCTGTTGCTTTAACCTTATAAAATGGTGTTAAGAAAACACAACCCTTCAGTTATTCTAAAGACGCACTGTATTCACTTCCATCTGCATTGATCTATGCCATACATTTTCTTTTCACTATATAGAAAACAGTTTGTTTTCTTCTCTGCTTCTCAGTGCTATGGACGGTGAAGCTGGAAATTCCATCTACCGTATGCTAGAATGATGCATATCATGTCATGATTCCACTGTAGATCCTCTGCTTTTATTGCCACCTAATGGCAGTGAGAAGAATTGCTCATATTTAGTACTAAAATTTGCTAGAAAAAAAATATTTTGTTTATTTCAGGTATTTATATAGCGCTGACAATTTACATAGCACTTTACATACTGCACATTCACACCAATCCCAAGCTTATACACCAATGTGTAGGACTATCCTAAGTAAACTATATTAAATTGATATGTACTCACATATACTCAATCTAAGTGATATTTTTTCTATTGTAGCTTGACTGAAATTCAAACTTAATGGAAAAAATTTGCCAAAGAAATAGTAAATATTCACTTTGCAAAATTACCACTTAGCGTTGTTAATTACTTAAAGTTGGGAGCAGAACATAATTTTTACCTTACACTTTTGGATGATTGTCTATGGGACCTTTGTAAAAGACCTTTATTTACCTGATCCCCACTTCCTTGGCATTCATTACTCACCTCTCTCCCCTCCGCTTTGGCTTGTCAGCGGTCTCTCATTGCCATCCTCACATATATGCTATGGGCTATGGGTCCTACATTAGACAGCGGGCTTCTATCCCAGGGAAGAGGCTGTGGGCGCTGGTCTTGAAGCTTGCAGGAGCGGGGAACAAGTACATAAAAATGCTTTACAGGCCTCCTAGACATTAACGAGCAGTTAATGCTTGTAGTACAGGGGTAACCTTACTACAAGGGTTTGGGATTTTTTACCTGGAAATAGGCTTTAATATTTGCTTCACAGAGTAACATTCTTTTCACTGTTTGTCAGGGAGGGTAGAGACCATAACTAGGCCTGAGAACTGATGTCATCACATGGAAAATTCTTTAAGGGCCGATTCACACCAAAAAATCTGCATTTAAGAGCGTTTGGCCTCTGGAACACCAGCCGGCCGGCTCCCTGCGGGAGGGGGCATGACGGTGCATTGAAGTCAATGGCACCACCGCCACGTCCCCACCCGCAGTGCGATCGGCTGCGTCCCGGTCCAGGGCGATTTGCAAAAATAGTGCTTGCAGCATTTTTTCAGATCACACTGGACCGGAACGCAGGCACTAATGCACTCGCACTGCGGGCAGGGGGCATGGCTGCGGTGCTATTGACTTCAATGCACTGCCACGCCCACTCCCGCCCCTGAACGCAGGGAGCTGGCCGCCTTGCGTTCCAGTGCGTTCCAGAGGAGAACGGAACGCAGACTTTGTGGTGTGAACCGGCACTAAGTGTAGCCAAAAAATTAAAAGCTTGTGTTGACAATCATCAATTGGCAAATTCAGAATTCATTGCAGGTGCAGTTCACATGCATTCGACCTGTTTCAGCTGCCTTTGCATTCCCATAGACTTGTATGGGAAAAGAAGCAATTCTGTAAAACGGAACTCCAGGGAGATAACATTTTAACCCTTGCAGTGGGGATACCCCCGCACTGCAAGGGTTAAGTGCTCGATTTGTCTAGGAAGCTAAAATAACAAAGTTATGCTTACCCAAACCACAATCGCAGTTTGCTCTTACACCACTCCCTCCAGCCTGTCTTCTCCTCCACTCCAGTGATGGAATGTCCCCTGGCATCCTCACGTCCAATACACAGTGTATAGAATGTGATGACTCACAGGACCTTAGACTGCTGGAGCGGAGAGAGAACGGGGGTAAAGGGAGCGGTCTAAGAGCAAACAGGGAGTTGGGTGGGTATAACTTTGTTATTTTAGCTTCCTAGACAAAGCAAGCACTTAACCCTTGGAGTGTGAGGGTAGCCCCACTGGAAGAGTCAAGGTTTGATTTGCCAGAGGTTCTGCTTTAAAGTGCACTGAAAGATTTGGGGTCAACATATCATCAAATCAAATGTTTATTCTTATAAATCTATGTTGTAAATAAATGTAATGAGAGTATTGAGTATATTAGGACTTTTGTTATATTATATAGCTTTATTTTTATGTTTCTCCACATAATTACAAGCAACAATAACAGTGACAGGGGTGCATGAACAGTTGCATCAACGTTTTGTTTCCTCCTAGGAAGATTTTCATTATGGGAATAAAAAGGACTGTCGTAAGCATCAGACAAACATTTTTATTTAGCTCTTGGCGCTAATGGCTGCCAGCGGAAAGATCCACTTGCTGTTGCATAATCAACGTTTTCAACAGTTTATCACAGTTTTTCACACAGACTTCAGGGGCTGATCATCCAAGGCTCTGGGGCTTCCAACACAAACATAATTGATGTGATCGGAGGCAGCCTTGGTACATAGTCGAGGCGTTACCATGTTGGGTTAACAGACAGTGTGGCCTCTTGTTTGTTGTTAATGCATGATGAAAATGTTTGCTTGTGAGTACACATATCCCTTGTTTTATTTATTTTAATAAACGATTTTACACACGGAGGTGGCGCTCTGTTCCCTTTTGTTTTTTGTTGGACTGTTGTAAGCATCCATGCTGGTGTTATAATTTGTCCAAGTTTCCACTATTACTTTTGCTGGACAGCTTGTCCTACATGTTAATGTAGAGGCAAGACAAATATAAATGAAAGTGTGTAAAAATATATATATATATATCGGTTATATTAGCCAATGAGTCCTGCAACAAATGTTATGGCAGCGGTGTCTATACTGTGCAGCTGCATATGTGTAACAAAATACGCAAAAATGCATCTCTCAGATAGCTTGGATATAACTTACCTGTAGCAAATGGATGGCAGGTAAGCAGCTTCTGATATATTTGCATCGGAAATTGTGTGCAGCCTTTAAGAAAAAAACAACTGGCACCTTTTTTTCCCCAGATCGCTCGTCCACTCTTCTGGCTCTCACCGCGCATTTTCCAAACCAAAATATTTGTGAGCCTGAATGTGAATGCAATTATTTTTATTTTCTGTATTCAGAATTTTTTTGTGTGTGTGGAATTTTAGAGTGACTACGTTTCAGGTTTTCTGCCACATGCAATTTTGTTGAATGTAACATGATTTCCACATGTAAAACTTTACAGTATAAGCCTGTCCTCAACCCACAGGATTTCAAATCTGTCATTTCCTAAGGTGCAATGGGAATTGGTGGAAACCTGGTAAAAGCATTAAGTTGTCATTGATGAAATATTGCAGATTACACAAGGATAGACAGAATGTGAACAGGGAACTGTAACCGCGCATATTAAAAAATGTCACAATCGCTTTCAAAAAATATTATCGGTGTCCTTTTTATGTTATATGTATAAATATATCATCACATCAT